CTAAAATAATGGAACAACAGTCTTACCTTCGGGAAAGGACTATAAACTCCTTAAAAGAACCGTCAAGTCACTCCAATCGGTGGTTCTTGAGAAAACCAAAGACCACTGGTGACAACGTCTTGTCGCATGGTGTGAATTTGTTTCATCAAAATTCATTTGTAAATCATCTCATATTTATTATATTTATGATTATATTGATTATTTTCAGAACTAAGATTTAATTTGTCTTGCACAAAATTCTCTAATTTATTAAACCTATTAACTAGTTATGTAATAATTTGCTCCATTCTATCTAACCTTTCTTTTACATCATCATTGACTATTTTTTTTGAATTTGTATATATTGTTGCATTATTATTATTAGTATTGTTTTTAATACATCAGCAAATGATTTTTCACCAAATTTTTTATTTAAGTTCGTATATAATTTTGGATTATGACTTTTGTAAATGTTTCCAAACTTTAAGAAGTTTCATTTTTTATTTCTTCTATTTTCCTTTCATTTATTGATCATGGTGATATGCTCCTCAGAATGATATCTGTATTATGTTTTCGCTACAAAGTTTGTAACTTTAATATTGAATTTACTCACCTTCTACTCTTTACCAATTGCCATCTATAATGTCTCTTTACTTTAGAATGAGATGATTGCCTCACTTCTACATCTGTAATTTTGAGACCTAGGGATATAACAAATAAGTGCACCAATAGTTTTGATATTAGGAATAATCTTTTTTGCTGTGACATCAAAAGATAAATTAATCATCCTTGCTGCAAATTTAACATGTGATATTAGATTATCATAGTTATAATCAATAGATGTAATACGGAATGAATCTTTACCAATAATTATGCTCCATTGGTTAAGAAGTTCTTTAACTAGTTCTTCTTTTTTAAAAATAGCAATTGTCCATTGTTACATTCCTGTTGGGCGTAACGTTAAATACTTCACTTCGCCATATATATTTTTTAATTTGCTTTTTAATTCATTATGTTTTATGCCAATAGGAATATCCCATAGTTTAATATCCATTTTCATTTCATTCAGTGTATTAGTTCTGTATAATTGTGCCCTATGCATATAGGTAGGCAATTGTATACCTGCCACCCAAATTCAAAATCCAAATGCCGAAATCCCAAATGCCAAAATCCCAAATCCCAAATTCCAAATTA